TCCATGTTAATTCAAAATCTTCTTTGAATATTGTTTCATTCCAAATTAGATCACATAACTTTTTCAAAACATCTGTTTTTGCCATATGACTTCCCAACTGCATACATATATAAAATTAAAAAAACAATTATATTAAATAAAAAAACATTTTATAATTTTATACTAACATTGTCAGTAAATTTTTGTGATATGTGCCACATACACAATCTATGTCTTGCATTCTTGAATACAACTGGTACTGCTTGTAAAATTGCAGCATCTTGATCTGCCACAATCACATTTGGCTCTTTGGGAAATGTTTTTTTGAAAGCATGTAGCAGCCATGAGTAAGATTCAATGCTTTCACTTGAAAGTAACCAAGCTCCAAAAGTTATGCATCGTTTATGATTATCTATACCAGTAAATGGTACAAAAATCATCCTATATCTGTAAAACAAATAAAGGACAAATTTATTTATTCAAATTTTTAGTAATGATGCAAATTATTCTTTTTAACGTTTTAATATTATTAAAGTATTGATCAAGTTGTTTATATATATATATATATATATATATATATATATATATATATATATATATATATATATATATATATATATATATAGAGAGAGAGAGAGAGAGAGAGAGAATTTCAAAAAATATTTCATTATTATTGTTGATTGATTAATATTTTATAAAATTAATGATTTTAAATACAATGATTCAAAAATATAATTTAATGACTTATATACTATTTATTTAAATTTGATCTAATTTAAAATAACCATTAAACGATTCAATAAAAAATCTATTAATATTCAAAATTTTCCTAAGCGATTCTCTATTAATAATGATTATAAATATGAGGATTCAAATTATAATCACATTAAAGATTCAATTTATTTTGGAATCTTTTATTTTTAAATTTATATTCTCAAAATCTATTGATACAAAATTGTTATAATTAAAAATAATGATCCAATATTATAATATTTGTAAATTAAATAATTCGAAAATATAAGTAAATTATGGAGTCACTTACTTGTTTGTTCGGTAAGTTGCATCAAAACCAAGAACATATCCAAATGCAGAATAGTTTCAAAAATATTTCATTATTATTGTTGATAGATTAATATTTCATAAAATTAATGATTCTAAATACAATGATTCAAAAATATAATTTAATGACTTACATACTATTTATTTAAATTTGATCTAATTTAAGTTAATCATTAAATGATTCAATAAAAAATTTATTAATATTCAAAATTTTCCTAAGTGATTCTCTATTACTAATGATTATAAATATGAGGATTCAAATTATAATTACATTAAAGATTCAATTTATTTTTGAATCTTTTATTTTTAAATTTATATTCTCAAAATCTTTTGATACAAAATTGTTATAATTAAAAATAATGATCCAATATTCTAATATTTGTAAATTAAATAATTCGAAAATATAAGTAAATTATGGAGTCACTTACTTGTTTGTTCGGTAAGTTGCATCCAAACCAAGAACATATCCAAACGCAGAATAGTTTCAAAAATATTTCATTATTATTGTTGATAGATTAATATTTCATAAAATTAATGATTCAAAAATATAATTTAATGACTTACATACTATTTATTTAAATTTAATCTAATTTAAGTTAATCATTAAATGATTCAATAAAAAAATTATTAATATTCAAAATTTTCGTAAGCGATTCTCTATTAATAATGATTATAAATATGAGGATTCAAATTATAATTACATTAAAGATTCAATTTATTTTTGAATCTTTTATTTTTAAATTTATATTCTCAAAGTCTATTGATACAAAATTGTTATATTTAAAAGTAATGATCCAATATTCTAATATTCGTAAATTAAATAATTCAAAAATATAAGTAAATTATGGAGTCACTTACTTGTTTGTTCGGTAAGTTGCATCAAAACCAAGAACATATCCAAACGCATAATAATTTCAAAAATATTTCATTATTATTGTTGATAGATTAATATTTCATAAAATTAATGATTCTAAATACAGTGATTCAAAAATATAATTTAATGACTTACATACTATTTATTTAAATTTGATCTAATTTAAGATAATCATTAAATGATTCAAAAAAAATTATTAATATTCAAAATTTTCCTAAGTGATTCTCTATTAATAATGATTATAAATATGAGGATTCAAATTATAATTACATTAAAGACTCAATTTATTTTTGAATCTTTTATTTTTAAATTTATATTCTCAAAATCTATTGATACAAAATTGTTATAATTAAAAATAATGATCCAATATTCTAATATTTGTAAATTAAATAATTCGAAAATATAAGTAAATTATGGAGTTACTTACTTGTTTGTTCGGTAAGTTGCATCAAAACCAAGAACATCTCCAAAGGCAGAATAGTTTCGTTTTGCTTCTTCATCCGCCCAAAACAATCCAGTCAATTCTCTATTACTTCCAACACTATAGTCAAATGAAAAATCCTGTAAATAATCCTTTTTCTTCATCAACATGTTTATCATAAAATCTGCATCTCTTTCTCCAATATATTCAATCCAATCTCTTTTGAAATTTTTTGTATCTGGTCCTGTAGCTCCAGTATTCTCAAAACCACCCCTGGACTCTTTCATGTATTTATATGCAACACTTGGTCCCATGTTCACATTTGACATATCATATATGATTTTTTTTGTGAAAATGTGAGTCTTCTTTCAAAATTTAGAAAATTTTGATCTTCTACATGAACAAACATATATGTATGTTCTTCTTTAAGCTCATATATATATGCCATATGTTATTATTGTTGACCTTCATTCTCACATATGCTTCACAGTTTATTCTAATAGAAGGTCTTCTGCATTTTTTGCTGTTTGAATCTGTTAGAGTATCATATGCATATTTCTTTTTTGATCCTTGACTATTACATACTAAGTATCTTCTTCCATAACCTTCTACTCCTTTCACTGTCTTTGTAGATCCTATTCTTGTTTCAAAACCACTTTTCCTAGCATATTCTTTATAAAATGCTAAACCTTCTTCGAATATAGGAAAAGTTTGTCCCTTATAAGGTCAAATATCTACATCTGGGATCCAATATGTTTTTCCATTAATTATTCTCATAATTGGATCACGTATACAATATTATAAAGATTCAACATTCCGTGATGAAGATCTAATATTTGTTGTTAAGAATTCATAAAATATTGTATATTAAATCATATTTTACAATTACAAACAATATTTTTTAATAACAAATTACCTTGATCATTACTTTCTGAATTTGTTATTTTATTTTTTTCACTTTCTGCATCATCAACATGCATTGTACATTCTAAATTTGCTGAATTTTGCTCCATAACTTGTTTTTGACCTAACATTAACATAGAACTTGATATTAACACGATTTTTATATATATGATTGTTTATATTTGATTAGCATTTTGTATTAGTCAATTTCGATATCACTCATCATATTATCAATAAAAAAAATTGAAAACAAATGTTTTTTGTACATTAATTACAATGATATAAAGTTTTTTGTGAATAAAAATTCGATTTTTAACTAATGATAAAACAGTTCCTTATATGAACAAATGTTGTTATAAATCATGTATTTTCAATCGTAATGTATATAAATATCAACGAATCGAGATTTAAATCGAAGTTTTTACTATAAATTAGATTTAATCATGTCAATTTCATACATGAATTCGTTAGAATCGTAACTGAATTATCGTGTTTTGATACAGAGCATTACAAATCGGCAGTAATCTATCTTTTTTGAGTTCGAATCTAAGCTAATTTTGTGTTATGCGAAACAAAATTTGAGAGTTTCAGTAGAAACCGATGATAATTTCAGTTTAACCTGATTTCAAATTATAAAATAACTTGAATGATGATCGAAGCAAAGTTTTTCGTTTTTTGAAACATAAATTCATGATTATCAGTAAAAGTTAAGATTTTGATCTGAATGTAACCTAATTTCGTATCATTTGTATCGAATATTGAAGATTTTTGTAGAAAGAATCTTGATTTCGTTCGTTGTTCTTCGAAGTAGCTTGATGATCGGAGGTTAATAGCGAGCTGGAAGATAATGATGTCGTCTTCGTCGGAAGTTATATAGCCCAGCGCTATGTTAGTCCAGCATTAGTAGCCCAATTTTTGGACCTAAATACCTTTAATGAGCTTGATTGGCCACGGGTAGTCCTTGCAGTCCTCACCGAAAAATGAGTCATCACTAGAACCGAACCCTCTATATATATATATATATATATATATATATATATTATATATATATATATATATATATATATATATATAGAAAAAAAATATGAAACTTTTATAAAGATCTTCATTTTTCTTGGATAAAATGTTTTCCTCGTGGATATTAACATCGTCTTCATCTTGGATATTGTCATCATCTTGGCTTTTGATATTTTAAACCCAATCTTTAATAGTGTCCTCATCTTCCTCTAAATTAGTAGGGGAGTGGTTGATAAACATTGTGCTATTTATTCTAGTACTCATTTTCGACATTTTCAACATCATCATCAAGATATGCGGTGTTATGTGTCCAACTCCATCCAAGTAATTTTTTTTTTTTTTTAATTTTGCAAAACCTTTTATTTCTACCTTCTCAACCCTCATGTGGGCATCCTTATGCAGAAACCCCTTATCAAGTCTTCATACAACTCTATGATCGACCTACAACCAATCTAAAAAAAAAAAAAACCAGTCTAGGTCCGGACTTAAACACTTGAACTTAGCCAATAAGGTTAACACTGCTTCAGCCCAAAAGCTTGAACTTAGTCAAAAATGCCGGAAAGCTCATTAATGTGGGACGCAAACATGTGCACCCTTATCCAAAAACTGAACTTTTAGGTCTAAAAGGACGAGTTTTGGCCCCAACCAAACATGGGCCCAAGATGAAGCTTTCAGATTCAGACCCTACACTCCTTTACATAAAACTGTATCATTTTAGTATGATTTCAATCCATAATTACAAATTTATTCATTATGAATCATATACATAATAAACTATTACAACATCGATAGTATTGATTCCAGCTTTGGTTTGAATTCAATATTTGTGGTTATAATTTGAGCATGATAGTCATCTCATCCGATCAAGGACCAACCAAGACAAGTAGATAAGTAGTAGAGTTGGTTCTTGATTCCAAAATTCCATAATATCAAAGCAAAGCAAAGCGGTCCCAAATATCTTGGAGCCAGCCAATGGTGCGTGGTCCACAACCAACATGGAGCCTGCCTGCCCGCCCGCCTATTCTATTTCTATGTGACCACCATAGCATTAAGGTGGTCCACAATGGTCCAGGTCAGAGCATATTAATATGGTCCATGGTCAAACATGTAAATAGTAAATGTGAAGTTGCATTAAAGTAGTGTTAAAACTTTATACTTTGAAACACATAATTCATCCCACTCTATAAAAAAGTAACAGGTAACGTAATGAGCCCATGATGTCATGTGATGATGAACTTTAAAAGGCTCGGTTAACAGAATAAAGAAAAGGAGAAGTAAACGAGGTTGTTGATGTGTCGTCATGATATTGGCCAGCCGATTCAGTGGGAGTTAAGTGAATGAGGTTATGTTTATGTCTGTCTGTCTTGTGTCTTCTCTCCTTTAATCTTAGGTTCAAGTGTCCATGGCAATAGCTTCAGGAAGATGAAGCAATTTATGAGGTGACTTGGGTTTATGAGAAGGTCCTGTTAATCTATTGCTGCTGCTGTTGCTCTCTTTTGGTATTCCTAAACCCGTGTTTCCAAGTACTTTTCTCACTTCATTTGCCAATTCTATCACCATGTCATCTTCATGACCTAATTATATACAAATCATAATAATATGATCAAGTTAGATATGCTTGAAAGGACCATTATGATGGTACTTGATAGTTTAAGGAAATGGTAAAACTTGTGTTTTTTTGTTTTGTCTAAAGATACTCTCATCAATAATGATAAGCTAGAATCTTGTGGGGCAAAAACAAAAGCTGACAAAGGGCAATTAAGTAATTTCACAAATAAATAAAGGGAACCCTTGTGGGCCAAAAATAATAAAAGACAAGGGGAAGATTAACATACCAATATCAAACATAGCTTTCTCCAGCAAGAAAATGTAGTCTCTGTTATTTCCACATGGACCAGTAGCAGTCGCAATTTGTCTGAAAATTTACACTAATAAGAAAAAGACTAAAATAGCCTCAATATATAGAATGATATAAAAGTATGATAAGTAAATTACTTGGCCATATCCTCCAATGGTGCAGGCCCAAGGTAGTACTTATTCGATTCCTTGTCTGGAGTTGATGTGAAACTGTAACAAGTAAAATAAATGAGGGCAAATTTGTAAATACCAACACTTTCTCTAATAAGTCTTCTTTCTTGAAAATTTAAGTTTATTCAATAAAAAAGAATGTCAAGATAAAATAGCTTACACTATAACTCCTGATAAAGTAGCCTCACTAATCTCCCCTTCCTGAATCAAGACGTTACAAAATGTCAGCTTTTAATTTTGTGTTTTGTAAAAGAAAATAATCTGTTATATAATTGAAAAATGCACATATGTATCTCAGAAGTATATTCTATTTCACCTTGAAAAAGTCTACAGTGGTCTTCTGATCATATTCGCATTCTCTGTTCTCTAAATACTGAAAGAAACAACAAAACATAAGTTCTTGATGACATAATAATTGTTTTTTTTTTGTTTCCAAAATGCAAAAGCATGAAATGGAATTAAAAAAACATACCGCCATTGCCAATCTTTCTTTCTCCTCACCTCCTTTTACACAATACACAGCGCCCCACTGAAAGAAAGATTAAGAATTAGCATTCAGAAGTTGAAAATCAGCTGAAAATGGTGGAAAAGTTGAAATTTGGTGTTACTTACACAGACAGCTCCTTCCTTATATTCAAGTGTGCATGTTCTTGCAGGGTCCTCAGGTGTACCTCTATGATCAATGCATGCTGTGGCATAAATCATAATCATATAATCTTAATAACCAGATTAAGATAGAAATGTATAAATATGAAAGCAAGTAAGTGTTAGGAGAAAGTCTGCATACCTAGATCAAACACACGCCTGTAATTCTTGATGTACCCTATCATTTTATCATCATAATCAAACCCAGGGTTCCATACCAATGAACCATAGCCAAACACCCAGAAAACCATGATGATACTCCCCACAAATAACAAGCTGTTGATAATCGAAACATTAGCAAGATGATACAAAGAGGAATCTTTAAATTACAAACCATTATAACCTCAGAACAAATTCAACAAATCAAGGATGTAAATGGGACATAAGATTAAGAGTTAAGACTTAAGAACCAGTTGTTATCTCCTTAAATACACCCATTTATCAAATAAGTCGTGTTTCATTTTTGTCATGAAGACAGAGATATAGAAGGAGTTACTTCTGGCCACAGGTGCACCATCTTAGTGGACCAAGTCTACCCATTTAAATTAGAATATTGGTTTGGCTTTTGAAAGTTAATGCGTGCCACTTTCTAACGTCATGGTTGGTATGAAATTATGAATCAGCTTGTTAAAATATTAATAATAAAATCATTGAACTTTTCTTCATAAGTTTACATTTGACTTTATCTTAATGTCAAACAGATACTTTCCATATAGATGATTGATATAGATTGTGTTAACATCTAGCAAGAATTTAATAATAGAAAAAATTGCATCTCTTCTTTTCAATAAACACATATGAACATAAATTTAATGCTACAGAAAACAGAAAAAGTCATGAGTAAAATCTACTTCAAATTAATCGAAAAACATCGGGGTTTTAGTCCAATTAGGGTTTATCCGAAAACAAGCCCCATTAGAATTAGAATAATTTCTACTTATAGTAGAATTTACTAATTCCGTTATGTTCATAAGTTTCCATCCAAAAAAATCACACATATGCCTAGGACTATCATCATCGACTTCAATAATGTTATATAGAATCCAAAATAGCTGAAGTATTAACCAGATCTAACAAATCTATTCTAATTCCTCCTACCAACAATTATTTTGTCATCATCGATAAAAATACATAAACATCCAACAAAAAATCGATGTTAAGGCTAGTCCGATAGCATACTAACATATAATCAACATTGAAGGATAACAAGAACACGATTGATTGATCGATTGCTTACATAAATCGAAGAGCGAAGTGTAATGTGCGACTGCAACAAATCTGACGAACTTGAGATTCAAACCAATGAGAAGGACCGTCAGACGACTTGGAGGAGAAAAAAAAAAGGAGAGAGAGAGAGAGAGAGAGAGAGAGAGAGAGAGAGAGAGAGAGAGAACAAAATTAGGGTTTTGAGAGAGATATTCTCTCGGTTCCGGCAAGGATGAAAGAGGATGACACCTCCTTCTGGGTTTACGCCGGTTGGTGAGGTGAATGGATGTAAGAAAGAGGACTATTTATAGAAGTATTTACAATATGCCATTCATGAATATGGTGAAACTGATAGATGATGCATGTATGTATGTGCCATGTATCATGATTTTCAAGAAACATGCATTTGTTATGTTTTTTTTTTTTTTTTTTTCAATTTACTATTTAAGTTTTTTTCAAGATATTGTATCTTTTTTTCAACCTCTTTCCTGTAGATTGTATCTGACCATTTATCGGACTAAATTCAACATCAACTTTTTATTTTAATTTTTTGAATTAAACTATTATATTATATATATATATATATATATATATATGGGAAAAGTGAATATGTGGCTGTCATGTATGTAATATTAGGTATAGAACCATCAAAATTGACTTCATTTTGATTAAAAAAAACCTAATTTTTTCATTGTTAGCTTCTTCCTATTACTTTTGAGCTCATATTATTTCCGATTTCATAATTTATTCTCAATATCTATGTATTTCGAATGTGTTTTTTATATTAGAACTCTAGTATGCTTCATAACTTTCTTTGACACCAACCATATGTATACTTGCATTGTTCTTTTTAATGTGTCATGGGAAGAAATTTATTGGGTTTTTAATGAACAATTTCAATCTTTCATTATAGTTTTCTATATTAAATTTGAATATGAAGATTTATAGGTAGTTGATAATTTATTCTTATACATGGTTTGTGTTGCAAAATTTAATATTTAAAACTCCATAAAAGTATGTACAACGCCTATCATCTAGTCTAATAGACAATACAAGAAAGATGGTAGAGAGATTTGAGTGTATTTTGTTAAAAACTATGTAGTTTTTGATGGTTCTATACCTAATATTAGGTATATAACAACCACATATTCCCTAAGCCCTATATATATATATATATATATATATATATATATATTATATATATATATATATTATATATATATATATATATATATATAGCATTGCATTTTAAAAGAATTTATTTATAAAGTAATATATTTTGAATCATTTATCATTAAATTTAACATTAATTACAATATATTTTCATAGTTTTTATTTTTTATTTTTTAGTTAAACCATTATATTTCTTATTTTTGATACAGGTATATCATTGCATTTTTAAAAAGAATTTACTTTTAAAATAATATATTTTGAAACATTTGTCAATTTAAAATTTGTTTTTGTTTGTATGACTTTTTATAATCGTGTACGTTTTTTTGTAAATAATATTTTTTATCCAAAAAATAAAATTAGGATTTTATAACAAGTACATTACTATTTCTCTCACATTTAAGCTTTAGATTTTGTCAACGCATGATGTGATACGTGAAAATATATGGATTTGAATATGAATCGAAATGAATAGGGTTAAGGTTAACCTACTGAATTTATATTTTACTTTATTATCTATAAATTTAAAATATATTAAATATGATTAATTACAAAAAAAAAGTATCAAACTATTGTTGTTAACAGCTTTATACTCATGTTTTCCAGAATTTTTAATTGAAAGAATTCTGTAGTAATAGTTTTATGCTCACGTTTTGCGAATAATTAATTGAAATAGTTTTTATAGACTTCTTTTAGTCGTCCGACTTTTGATGTATGTTAAAAGGGTACATGGTCATGTAGTCATGTTTTTCTCAATAATAAATAAAAAACTGCTACATTTAAGATGAAATTTATTGAGATTAATGAAAGACGAGCGGTTCAACATGGACTAATTACATGAATGTCCAGGTTCAATGAATCTCCCCAATGTATGGATGGAATATATGCACATCATGGCTAACTAGAAAGGTTACACCGCTACGCGGGGGCCAAAAGCTTTCAATGTTGTTTCCGAATTGATAAATATGACAGACATAGAAAGTGCAAGAATGAAAAGTCCGGACTTTGCCTCAGACCGTTTTTTTCATGTTTTTATGAAAAAATGTAAAAGTTTTTACTGCAAGAATTAAAGGGGTAGGAATTAGCAACTTTTTAAAATCGTTAAAGTTTTGTGGCCAAACTTTAAATATTAAAAGGTTCCAAAAAAGTGTAAAAATATTGATTGCAATGACCAAAAGTGTCAAAATGGGTAAAGAATGAGGAGCAAAGTTGCCAAAAAAAATCCAAATTTAGTATTCTAACTTTGAAGCCCAACAATAATACAGGGACCAATTCTGCCAAAAAAATGACAAGTTCACTATTCCTTTTCTTTATAACTTTAATATATATATATATATATATATATATATATATATATATATATATATATATATATATATATAATAAGTTGGAGGTGTCCATGTTTAACACAACATAAGTTGGAGGGCCAAATTAGACAAAAAAAAAAGGGGGTTGTTTACTGTTAAAACTTTTGATAACTTTAATATATATATAATAATGCCATTATAAAACATAGAGTGGGCCCATCTGGATTAATTTTAGGTCAGTTTCTGTCACACCCCTGAACCAGACGGCGGAAACGTCCTAGGGCTCGTGTGACTATCAATTGAAATATCATCACAATGAATATACATGAAACATAACACAATCATCACCAAACATTACATATTACAACTGGTATTGTTCACATCAAGTACATTGTCTTATGTTACATATTCCAAAATATAAAGTGTACGATGATTGATATTACACAAAATAAATCCACACACTTGAAGGTTCTTCTGCTTAACGGTTAACTGAGAATACAAGTTATTTTGAAAACGGTCAACATATATAATGTTTGTGAGTTCATAAGCATATTTGAAAGAAAGATTTTGTATTGTTTGTAAAACCCAGAAAATCCGATATTTTCTGTAAAAAGTCTGAAAATGATGTAAAAATCGAGTACAGATGCATGTGTAAATTTTATGATAAAAACATGTATAAGTGAACGATCCAAAATTTCCTTGTATTATATCTGTTGTAAATAGAAGGTGATGAATAATAGTATCTCCCCAGAAAATCCGATATTTTCTGATTTATAAAAATGTTGTAGTCCTTGCATTATAGTATGATTTGTTTTGTATCAATATGATTTACAGATTTTTGATTTCCGTAAAGTCGTGATGGTAATTGATCTCTATATGAGTCGTTATAACCATGCATGATAGTGACTGATTTGCCTGTCTTGACATTTTTCCAAACGCCGGATTTTGATCAAGGTTTTGTCACCCTAGACTGACATAGTCTAACTGTAGCGAACAGCTCATGTGTGGGGGAGTCACCCCCGTATAGATCTATACACAAACTCTCGCTCTCCCTCCAGAAGATTTTGATTATAACTACAGACTACGACCATACACTCAATGGAGTCAACCGACAAGTCTCACTAGATTCCAATTATTGCCACATGAATATGTATACGTTATATGTATTTAGAATTTCGAACACCAGATGATACATAAATATGAAAGGATAAGGCCCAACAAAACATGAAGAAAAGACAACTATGGCTCATTAGACATGTAAGTTATTTCCAGGCTTGTTAAGTATGTCATGGACACATTAAAGCCCATTAAGCATACGATGAATTATTCCAGGCTAAATTAGCATGTAAATGGGCCACTAAAGCCCAATAACATGTAAAGGCTAATTTAGGCCCATTAATCATGTAATTGGATCGCGAAGGCCCAATAGACATGAAATGATTATATTTGGCCAAATAAACATGCAAATGGATCACGAATGCCCCAATAAGCATGTATAGTGAGTACTAGGCCCAATAGTCGTACCGTTATTGTATTTCGTTTGTTTGTTATAGTATAGTTCATTTAGTCGAAACATTTATCCATAATGTTATAAAAAGTCCAGTGTTTTGTTATAATGACATTTTTAGTTCGTTACGTCAAAATTTTATAATTTGAACTCGTGTTTAATAAAAATTACACTTTAGGTCCCTTAAGAGCTAATTTCAACATTTAAAGGCTTATTTTTACATAAAATGTCATTTTTGGTCTATTTTAATTAAAAATAACATTTTAGCCCATTAATTTATAAAAATTTACATTTTCGCCCCAAATGCTTAGTAATTGACGGATTTGGCCCAAAAATACATATGTTGAAATTGTCAGCCCATCTTTACAGAAAATTACATTTTCAGCCCTTATTTGAATAAAATGACATTTTCGGCCCAAATTTTATAAAATTAACATTTTTGGCCCAATTTTGAAATACGTGTCATTTTCAGCCCCTAAACTTGT